AACTCATCACGCCCTCCTATGTAAATACCTTGGACTTTCTACTTTCCAAAAAAGGGGTCACTTGGGAGGGGGGTGGGGGTGGGTTGTACTGTGCAGGCATGTTAGGGCCACAAGTAATGAGATAGCAGTCAGTACAATCGGGATTGATCAATTTTCAGTGATACGGATCATCACTTGTAGACTCTATAACTTTCACATATAATAAATAATGTACACTGATTGGGGTTATTTCTTCCCTAAATTTAAACCAAAATTTATTCCTGCTTCATTTCTTTGGTTAAAAAATCACCCAAATCCGTGTTTATTATCTAGTCTGTTTCTTATATTTACTTATTTGCTAAATTTTATAATAGAAGCTGAGAAGAAAATGCATTTTTAAATACCACCAAAAGAAAGCTCTGTCTGTCCCCAAAACTGATGAACATTTAGTTTGGATACACGGCTGCATGACTGAGTAATTGTCATTCAAAAGTGTGAGAGCGCTGAAAAGCTGAAAAGTGGCCTGGGCAGGAAGAGAGGGAAAATGTCAGTATTTAAAGTGGGTTAAAGCCCTTGATCCCCACGCAACAGAATTTGTTTTTTGTTTTTTTTTTTTGTCTGTGGTACAAGTCCTTCAGGGGGGTGCACAGACCCCATTTCATTTGTTTTTAATCCTTTGCCTATTATCCTAGAATTGGCCATGACTGATTTCTAAGGTTTCTCACTTTTGGGGTGGAATATGATGTTGTTCGAGTATACAAATCGTTATATCTACATTTATTTATTTATGGAAATTTGATTAGTGCCTTTGTTTCTACCACGTCATGGAGGACTCACGGAAATTCGCAAGTCATATCCTGCATCACTCCTCCCTGGACTACTCCTCATCAGTCTATGTATGGGGATGCCCTCGGCATGGGATGCCTCACTCCCCCCACGCTTTCTCATGCCGCTTCATTTGTGCAGTCGGTGCCCGCATGGGTCTAGGACCCCCTTGAATTGGCAGGTTTTTATCTGTCTGCTCCTCTCCCGGGATCCCACTGCCGTATACTTATGTTAATACTGTTATCCCTACGGTCCACGTACCTGCGCACTTCCACATTAGGCTCCTGTGTTATTGCCTATTTCATAGCACTTGGGCTATCGTTGCTCCCTGGCCCACCCTGTATTAGGGTGTCCTCTGGGAACACGGGGGGGTGCCTCTCCAAGCCTAGAATGACCCCCTATACCCCTTTTTTGTTACCTTTCCAGTATTATACCCTTCCTCCCTCCTCCCCTCTATATGACTCCATGACTTTGTACAACCCCCCACGTAAACTAAACCGTGTCCATATAGTACTTCTCGGGCTCCCTCCCAGCTGGCGATGCCATATTTTTTCAAATACTACACACTCTCTCCCCATGGGCTCGCTAAACATCCTCACCCTGAATGTGCAGGGTCTTACCATACCACAGAAACGCAACAAGGCTTTCCGCTTTTTTTGCTTCACTTAAAGCACACGTAGTCTGCCTACAGGAGAACACACTACACCCCCAAACTCCACCCCTAAATTTTTTTGGTCCCCGTTACCCTCAGGTCTATACGGCCTCCGCCACCCACAAAATGTAGAGGGGTGCTGATAGCCTTCCATCGTCACAACACCACCTTTCACTCTATACAGACTGAAGTCAAAGATCCAGAGGGCCACTATCCTCCTGTTGATAGGGCAACTCCTAGACATAGACGTCACCATTGCTACATATTATGCCCCGAATCAAGGTCCTTTACCATTTCATTTTCTCACATACTTTCGGTTATAGATCACCACAAAGCGAGGTACCCTACTGGTACCTGCGGAGACTCTAACAGTACGTTATAAATCCTTTTCTTGACAAGCTCCCCCCAACCTTGCCCTCTCCCTACCTCTAAGCTAACCCTACAAAGACATATTACAACGTTATTCCATGATCAATACCTGAGGGAACTTAACCCGGCCAAGCGCCAATATACTTTCTACTCCCACCCCCACAAGACCTTCTCTAGGATAGATCAAATCCTTATTACGGCCAGCTCCTCTTCCCGGCTCTTGACCTCTGAAATACTCCCAATTCCCTGGTCAGTGACCCATTGCTCTGTATTTACATCCATGGCTTCTCTAGCCCCATCTCCTACTGAGGTCCTCATGGATCATCAATGACAATTTACTTGCAAATCCAGTACACTGATCGGAAATTGAAACCGCCCTCAAAGATTACTTATCTCGATTGACCACACACCTGATATTTCCCCACTCCTACTCTGGGAAGCGCATAAACCGTGATACGCAAATTTTGTATTAGTAAAGCGTCCTTTTTAAAAATAAAGCAAAAAGACAACAACGTCTTTCTCTGAAGTTTAATAGCAAACCATGTCTTTATCTACAATCATTCCCATCAAATCTTCCAGGCGACTCCACACACCTGCCAACCATGAAGCCCTAGAACAATCCCAACTGAAAAATAATTAAAAAATTAAATATAATTATATTTCCCCATTAGCTCTAGACCTCTTTCTCACAGACCAGGCGGAACTCGCACTTCGTAGATCCAGGCACAGATATTATAACCAAGGCGAAAAAGCAAAGTACCTTCTTAGCCCTTTCGCTTCGTAGGCTTGACCAGATTACTAAACCTATACGAATACGCACCACATCTGGCAACCTCACTAGTAATCTGGAACGCATCCTACGAACATTCCATAAACATCTGTCACAGCTTTACTCTTCCTCCACACCCTTTGACCCCTTACAAGCTGATACCCTCTTGGCCCCCATCTCCTTCCCGAAACTGTCGGAGCACCAATTAGCCAAGCTGAAACCCCAGCCAAAACCCTAAATGCTATAAATGTCTAAAACCTTGCAAGCGCCCAGGACCAGACGGTTTCTCAGCCCACTTATTACAAAAAATTAGCTCATCTTCTTGCACCCATACTTACTAATGCTTTTTTATATAAATATATATTATTTTTTAACGCTTTACTATCTGGCCATACCGTCCACCATGAAACGGTACAATAGCGAACATCTCGATGATCCCAAAACCAAACTCGGATGACACGCAGTAGTCCAACTATAGGCCAATCTCTCTCCTCAATATTGATATCAAACTGTTATCAAAAATTTTCTCCACGTGCCTTAATCCTTATATAGGTTCCCTGATTCATAATGACCAAGTGGGCTCTATTCCAACTCGACAGGCCGGACATAACTAGAGATGAGCGAATTATTCAAAAATTCGATTCGGCTGATTCGGCGAATTCGCGGAATAAATTTGATTCGAGTCGAATATATTCGCTGCGAATTTAACTTATAAAAAGGGTGTTTCTAGGCTTCAGAGAGCCTTTATATTAGTGCAGAACACTGTACCTTTAATTTAAATGCCCTTGGAGTCTGCTGGGAAGAGAAATAATACTGTCAGTCAGTATGACATGCAGATGAGTGCCGTCGATCTTAGAATCACCGCACACTTCACTCATTTGGGCAGTCACGGGGCCAAAACCAGAGTGTGGAGCCACAGTGTGGCGGTGGAGGCAGCAGCAATGGGAGGCCATACAGCACCCTATGACAAAATGGAACCCACCAGCAGTGTGAGTAGACCTGAAAGTGGCACATGGCAGAGTGTGGCGATGGAGACAGCAGCAATGGGAGGCCGTACAGGGGACCCATGACACACTCTGGACCTGGCAGCAGCATGAGGAGGCGGTACAGGGGCCCATGACAGATTACGGGCCTGGCAGCAGCATGAGGAGTCGGTACGGGGCCCATGGCAGATTACGGGCCTGGCAGCAGCAATGGGGAGGCCGTACAGGGACCCATGACACACTCTGGACCTGGCAGCAGCATGAGGAGGCGGTACAGGGGCCCATGACAGATTACGGTTCTGGCAGCAGCATGAGGAGTCGGTACCGGGGGCCCATGGCAAGATTACGGGTCTGGGCAGCAGCAATGGGAGGCCCGTAATCTGCCAGCACCCTATGACAAAATGGAACCCACCAGCAGTGTGAGGAGACCTAAAGTGGCACATGGCAGAGTGTGGCGATGGAGACAGCAGCAATGGGAGGCCGTACAGGGACCCATGACACACTCTGGACCTGGCAGCAGCATGAGGAGGCGGTACAGGGGCCCATGATAATTACGGGCCTGGCAGCAGCATGAGGAGTCGGTACGGGGGCCCATGGCAGATTACGGGCCTGTGCAGCAGCAATTGGAGGCCGTGCAGGGACCCATGACACACTCTGGACCTGGCAGCAGCATGAGGAGGCAGTACAGGGGCCCATGACAGATTACGGGCCTGGCAAGCAGCATGAGTAGTCGGTACGGGGGCCCATGGCAGATTACGGGCCTGGCAGCAGCAATGGGAGGCCTGTAATCTGGCCAGCACCCTATGACAAAATGGAACCCACCAGCAGTGTGAGGAGACCTGAAAGTGGCACATGGCAGAGTGTGGCGATGGAGACAGCAGCAATGGGAGGCCGTACAGGGACCCATGACACACTCTGGACCTGGCAGCAGCATGAGGAGGCGGTACAGGGGCCCATGACAGATTACGGGCCTGGCAGCAGCATGAGGAGTCGGTACGGGGGCCCATGGCAGATTACGGGCCTGGCAGCAGCAATGGGAGGCTATACAGCACCCTATGACAAAATGGAACCCACCAGCAGTGTGAGGAGACCTGAAAGTGGCACATGGCAGAGTGTGGCGATGGAGACAGCAGCAATGGGAGGCCTACAGGGACCCATGACACACTCTGGACCTGGCAGCAGCATGAGGAGGCGGTACAGGGGGCCTATGACAGATTACGGGCCTGGCAGCAGCATGAGGAGTCGGTACGGGGGCCCATGGCAGATTACGGGCCTGGCAGCACGCAATGGGAGGCCGTACAGGGACCCATGACACACTCTGGACCTGGCAGCAGCATGAGGAGGAGAACAGGGGCCCATGACAGATTACGGGCCTGGCAGCAGCATGAGGAGTCGGTACGGGGCCCATGGCAGATTATGGGCCTGGCAGCAGCATGAGGAGTCGGTCCGGGGGCCCATGGCAGATTACGGGCCTGGCAGCAGCAATGGGAGGCCGTTTACAGGGACCCATGACACACTCTGGACCTGGCAGCAGCATGAGGAGAGGCGGTACAGGGCCCATGACAGATTACGGGCCTGGCAGCAGCATGAGGAGTCGGTACGAGGGCCCCATGGCAGATTACGGGCCTGGCAGCAGCAATGGGAGGCCGTACAGGGACCCATGACACACTCTGGACCTGGCAGCAGCATGAGGAGGCGGTACAGGGGCCCATGACAGATTACGGGCCTGGCAGCAGCATGAGGAGTCGGTACGGGGGCCCATGGCAGATTAACGGGCCTGGCAGCAGCAATGGGAGGCCCGTAATCTGCCAGCACCCTATGACAAAATGGAACCCACCAGCAGTGTGAGGAGACCTGAAAGTGGCACAAGGCAGAGTGTGGCGATGGAGACAGCAGCAATGGGAGGCCGTACAGGGACCCATGACACACTCTGGACCTGCAGCAGCATGAGGAGGCCGTACAGGGGCCCATGACATTACGGGCCTGGCAGCAGCATGAGGAGTCGGTACGGGGGCCCATGGCAGATTACGGGCCTGGCAGCAGCAATGGGAGGCCATACATCAATCTGCCAGCACCCTATGACAAAATGGAACCCACCAGCAGTGTGAGGAGACCTGAAAGTGGCACATGGCAGAGTGTGGCGATGGAGACAGCAGCAATGGGAGGCCGTACAGGGACCCATGACACACTCTGGACCTGGCAGCAGCATGAGGAGGCGGTACAGGGGCCCATGACAGATTACGGGCCTGGCAGCAGCATGAGGAGTCGGTACGGGGCCCATGGCAGATTACGGGCCTGGCAGCAGCAATGGGAGTCCATACGGGCACCCATGGAACCCACCAGCAGTGTGAGCAGAGACTGAAAGTGGCACCCCATGGCAGAGTGTGGCGATGGCAGCAGCAAATGGGAGGCCGTACAGGGACCCATGACACACTCTGGACCTGGCAGCAGCATGAGGAGGCGGTACAGTGGCCCATGACAGATTACGGGCCTGGCAGCAGCATGAGGGTCGGTACGGGGGCCCATGGCAGATTACGGGCCTGGCAGCAGCAATGGGAGGCCCGTAATCTGCCAGCACCCTATGACAAAATGGAACCCACCAGCAGTGTGAGGAGACCTGAAAGTGGCACATGGCAGAGTGTGGCGATGGGACAGCAGCAATGGGAGGCCGTACAGGGACCCATGACACACTCTGGACCTGGCAGCAGCATGAGGAGGCGTACAGGGGCCCATGACAGATTACGGGCCTGGCAGCAGCATGAGAGTCGGTACGGGGGCCCATGGCAGATTACGGGCCTGGCAGCAGCAATGGGAGGCCATACAGCACCCTATGACAAAATGGAACCCACCAGCAGTGTGAGGAGACCTGAAAGTGGCACATGGCAGAGTGTGGCGATGGAGACAGCAGCAATGGGAGGCCGTACAGGGACCCATGACACACTCTGGACCTGGCAGCAGCATGAGGAGGCGGTACAGGGGCCCATGACAGATTACGGGCCTGGCAGCAGCATGAGGAGTCGTACGGGGAACCCATGGCAGATTACGGGCCTGGCAGCAGCACGAGGAGTCCCGTAACGGGGCCCATGGCAGATTACGGGCCTGGCAGCAGCAATTGGAGGCCGTACAGGGACCCCTGACACACTCTGGGGATGGAGCAGCAGCATGAGGAGGCGGTACAGGGGACCCATGAGACAGATTACGGGCCTGGCAGCAGCATGAGGAGGTCGGTACGGGGGCCCATGGCAGATTACGGGCCTGGCAGCAGCAATGGGAGGCCCGTAATCTGCCAGCACCCTATGACAAAATGGAACCCACCAGCATGTGAGGAGACCTGAAAGTGGCACATGGCAGAGTGTGGCGATGAGACAGCAGCAATGGGAGGCCGTACAGGGACCCATGACACACTCTGGACCTGGCAGCAGCATGAGGAGGTGGTACAGGGGCCCATGGCAGATTACGGGCCTGGCAGCAGCAATGGGAGGTAGTCGGTATGGGGGCCCATGAGGAGCAGAGTTACAGAGTGGGCCTGGCAGCAGCAATGGGAGGCCGTACAGGGACCCCATGACACACTCTGGACCTGGCAGCAGCATGAGGAGTCGGTACGGGGGCCCATGGCAGATTACGGGCCTGGCAGCAGCAATGGGAGGCCCGTAATCTGCCAGCACCCTATGACAAAATGGAACCCACCAGCAGTGTGAGGAGACCTGAAAGTGGCACATGGCAGAGTGTGGCGATGGAGACAGCAGCAATGGGAGGCCGTACAGGGACCCATGACACACTCTGGACCTGGCAGCAGCATGAAGAGGCGGTACAGGGGCCCATGGCAGATGGCGAAGCGTGGCAGCTTAGCATTGAGAGGCCATACAGAGGCCCATATATTAAAAATAATAACATGTTTGGGGCATGCATTCATGGCGGATTTAGTCAGTTGTGTCAGGAACTGGTGGTTTGACAAATCCATGACTAATCCACAGCCATTCATTGAGGACGTGAGTCTCCTCCACACTTTGGGTGGCACATGAGTCGAGCGGTACCTCCGCGGATTACAATACCTCCTGCCGCACTAAACACGCGCTCCGAGCCACGCTACTGGCGGGCATGACAGCCTTTCAAGGGCAAATTCAGCTAGTTGGGGCCTGTAAAATATCGTATTGTCTCGATATTTTATTAACTTGTATTGATGAGAAATGTTCAAATAGAAAGTCCTTCCACTGCTTGTATAAACTCAAAAAGATGATTTAATAATAACGTTGCATAAAATTAGGGGAAATAAAATATTGGCATACAGAATGTTTAAATAATGTCCTAAAAAATATAGTTAAGTTCTTGGTGATAAGATTGTAATATGTATATGTGTGTATGTGTGTGGTGTCTCTCAAGGCTTCTAGCAAAGTGTGCCAGAAACTCAAACCTTTGTTCAGCTCTTGAAAGAGTAATCCAGCCCCCACCATCTCCTAAAAGTGGGTTGGTATTCTCTTGTAGTCCCACTAAGATAATTGACACCAACAGGAGGTATTAAAACAAACCCTCCAATCTACTTCTCTCAAAGTCTGAGTGTAACTTTATCTCTTACATAGTTTGGGGGAGGATGGGGGAAGGTTAGCTAATTGCTCTCATATGTGGCTTTGTAAAGGAAAAACCCAAGAAAATATGTTCATATTATATTCACAGACTCTGAAGTCTAATTCCTTACTTTTTCCCAATCTAGTGTCAAATATAAATATAATAACTCAATTGCCGCTATTAAGATCCAACTCATTCATACTTATGTTAGTACTGTTAATAAGAAGATATTAGATTTGGGTTAAGGAAAGCTTCTAGTTGGGGCCAAAGGTCAAGTTTCGTTGCCCAGTTGTCAAGGGGATTGTCTACCTCGGTTGGCAGGGTGCTGTCCAAGTAGGCCCAAGCCTGTTGTTTGAGGTCCTGCTCCAGGTCCACCTGATGCTGCTGCTGCTGCGGCTGGTTAGTAGTTTCCTCACTGCGCTGGTGAAGAAAGCTACTCATCATCGACTGCAGACTGAGGCAGCCGCTGCTGGTGGAGCTACCACTGCTCCTACCACCCCACCCCTCCCCTGCTGCCATGGCAGCGGAACGCGAGCGCACAGGGCCCACAGTGTCTGAGGATGGACGTTGGCGCACAAAGGCAGAGACCAACTGACTACATAGGTGGTTTTTATAGTACGATATTTTGGCCTCCCTCTCAGCAGGTGTGAAAAAGGCCACCATTTTTGAACGGTAGCGAGGGTCCAACAAGGTGGACAGCCAAAAGTCATCCCTCTGTCTGATGGTTATTATTCGGCTGTCGCTACGCAAGCAACCGAACATGCTATGGGCCATTTGTGCCAAGGAATGCGAGGGACTCCCTGCCTCCATCTCCACAGCATACTGCCACGGTGCGTCTGGGTCCTCTGTCTCCTCCTCCTCCTCCTCTACCAGATGCTCCTGCTCCTCCACTCCTGTCCGCTGAGTGGAAAAACCACCCATTTCACTCAATAATTCCTGAGCACAAATGTCCTCCTCTACCTCCTCCTCTTCTTCCTGTCCTGCCCCCACAGGGGTCATGTGGCGTTGAGATCTGTGCGCCACGTCTACCGCACCCTGACCAGCCATTGTTAACAGCATTTGTTCCAGGACATGCAATAGAGGAATGACGTCGTTCATCCCATAGTCCTGCCGACTCACGAATAGCGTGGCCTCCTCAAAGGGCCTGAGCAAGCGGCAGGTGTCACGCATGAGCTGCCAATGGCTGACATCTAAGTTACACAGGGGAGTACCTTTATCCGCATGTAACATCAGGAAATCGGTGATGGCCTTTCGCTGTTCGTAAAGGTGGTCTAACATATGTAGGGTTGAATTCCACCTTGTTGCAACGTCGCAGATCAGGCGATGCTGTGGAATTCCGTTCTGCCGCTGCAGCTCAAGGAGGGTGTGCTTTGCGGTGTAGGAATGGCTGAAATGCATGCAAAGTTTACGTGACATTTTAAGGATGTCTTGCAGTGGGATGGTGGATTTTAGGAACCGCTTGACAACCAGATTGAACACGTGAGCCATGCATGGCGCATGGCACAACCTTCCTTGACACAGAGCAGACACCATGTTCTTTCCGTTGTCGGTCAACATGGTTCCGATTTTCAGTTTGCGCGGAGACAGCCATCTGTCGATTTCTCTGTTCATTACACTCAGAAGTTCCTCCCCTGTGTGACTACGTTCGCCAAGGCATACCAGGTGCAGCACAGCAAGAACACCGTTGCGCCCTGCACATGTGATATGCCGGTCGGGTAATGGGACTTGGCACGGGGGTGGCGGCTGAGGACACGGCGGAAGAAGAGGTGGTAGAGGCGGACATGTTTGCTGGACCAAGGACGTGCAAACGTGGAGGCAAAAGCGTCGTGACCTGTCCAAGTTGCTGGTGCGGCTGTGCCGGCACCACGTTCACCCAGTGGGCCGTAAATGACATGTACTGTCCCTGACCGTAGTTACAGCTCCACACGTCGGCGCTGCCGTGCACTTTGGCAGAGACCGACATGCTCAAAGACTGGCCCACCATCTCTTCTACATGTGAATGCAGGGCTGGGCACTGCCTTTTTGGCGAAGAAATGCCGGCTTGGCACTCTCCACCGCGGCGCGGCACAAGCCATCATTTCTCGGAAAGGTGCTGAGTCCACCACTTGGAAAGGGAGGGACTGCAGCACCAGCAACTTGGACAGGAGGACGTTCAGCTTTTGCACCGTCGGGTGTGTGCTCTCGCAAACTGTTGTCTCTTGGAAACGGATTCCAAGAAAGACTGCTGACGGAATCCGTGAAGAGGAGTAGCAGGAGAAGGAGCATCTGAACGAGCGGAAGAGATGCCAACGAGCGACAACTCCCCTCAGCAGAGGTGTTGGAGCCTTGACTGGCTGATAGAGGGCGATTGACGTCGGGTGACGGAGCAAGTAACGGAGCGGGTGATGGAGCGGGGGCTGGGGCAGGCAGAACCCCCGTATCTTTATCACGGTTTTCCCAGGCCACCGAATGGCGACGCTGCATATGCTGACGCAACACTGTAGTCCCAACATGGGCCCCCCTGGCCACGCTTGACTTTCTGGCCACATAGTCGACATACGGCTACGTTTACTTCCTCGGGCGGCTTGACGAAAAATTGCCACACCGCCGAGTAGGAAACTTTGCCCCCGCTACTCCTCACTGGCTGACTGCTACTTCCTCCGTGCACACCGGCACCACTACTGGCCGTGGTGGTAGGCTGCAGTGGAGCTGGTGCTCTACTCCGTGGCCGTTTGCCTCCACTGACACTGCTGCGACCCTGCTGCCTCCTGGGCAACCCACCGACTGTTTTGCTCGCTGCCAAGCTGGCACCCTCTTCTCCTGATGATGCGGAAGCAATAGCCTGATGACGACGAGGCTGCCAAGTGCGATCAGCCTCATCATCATCAATTAGGGTCTCCGCCTCACTACTAGCCCCCTCGGCTGCGTGTGGGTCAGGAGACAGACCTGTCTCTAGACTGGCTACCGAGCCACTCTCTCCTTGCCAGTACTTCTTCGCCTGGCTGCTGAAGAGGCGGATGTCTCCCCCCGTTCCTGACCGCCCTCTGTTAGCTCTTCCTCACTGTACAGTGGGGCTGAGCCCACAGCATGCGATACTTCGCTTGGTGAGGGAACACCAAAGGACAGGGGCAGGTAGAGGACACGTGATTTCAGTGGGCTTTGCTCCCGGGCCATGCCAACTAACGGTTGTGTCTGACGTACCCACCGACCGTTGGCTGTAGGTGTCAGAGGTGACCTGGGAAGAGGAAGACGACCGAGCCAACCAATCGATGACGGCAGGGTTTTTGGTGGAGACACGACCGCTGGATGACACCGGGAGCACTGGCCTCTGGCTGCGACTAGTGCTGCCTCGACCCCTTCCTCTGCTGCCACGTCTGCTCGCTCCTGAAACATTGCCTCCTCTGCCACTCCTCTGCGTGTTGTCTGACATACTCTTTAATTCAACGATTCTTGTCCCTGAGTAACGATTCTGTGTCCCTGAGTAACAATTCTGCGTCCCTGAGTAACAATTCTGTGTCCCTGAGAAAGGATTCTGTTTCCCGAGTAATGATTCTGTTCCCCGAGTTTCGATTCTGTGTGTAACAATTCTGTGTCCCGAGTAACAATTCTGTGTCCCGAGTAACAATTCTGTGTCCCTGAGTAACGATTCTGTGTCCCTGAGTAACGATTCTGTGTCCCTGAGTAACGATTCTGTGTCCCTCAGTAACGATTCTGTGTCCCTCAGTAACGATTCTGTTCCCTCAGTAACGATTCTGTGTCCCTGAGTAACAATTCTGTGTCCCTGAGTAACAATTCTGTGTCCCTCAGTAACAATTCTGTGTCCCTCAGTAACAATTCTGTGTCCCTCAGTAACAATTCTGTGTCCCTGAGTAACAATTCTGTGTCCCTGAGTAACAATTCTGTGTCCCTGAGTAACAATTCTGTGTCTGCCCTGAGTAACAATTCTGTGTCTGTCCCTGAGTAACAATTATGTGTCCCTGAGTAACAATTATGTGTCCCTGAGTAACAATTCTGTGTCCCTGAGTAACAATTCTGTGTCCCTCAGTAACGATTCTGTGTCCCTCAGTAACAATTCTGTGTCCCTCAGTAACAATTCTGTGTCCCTCAGTAACAATTCTGTGTCCCTCAGTAACAATTCTGTGTCCCTCAGTAACAATTCTGTGTCCCTGAGTAACAATTCTGTGTCTGTCCCTGAGTAACAATTCTGTGTCCCTGAGTAACAATTCTGTGTCCCTCAGTAACGATTCTGTGTCCCTCAG